AATTTCAATCTGCATACGACAGAGTAAAAAATACATGGTGTTCCATTTACGTTAACAAAGTTATAGCTGTTTGAAATTATCAAAATGCAACAGCAAAAATGAAACACCTAGTATTAAATGTTTTAATTTGTAGGTATACCATAATTTAGTGTTAACTATGTCCTTTAAGGGTACCTGTAATTCCTAGGTATAGGGAATATTTAATAAAGTGACCCTCAAATTTCATTTAAAATAACGAAATTGGTGGCAACTTCCGGTATAATCGGAAGTGCAACAGTTTTGAAAATATTTTCATTGAAAAGTTCATGACCGGTAATCTGAGTATTCAAATTTTCAACAAAATCCTATCATGGTAAGTACGTATCCTCCTAATGAACCAGTTGCCTGAATAACCCTGTATATTAAACATCAATTAATTATTAATTTTTTTGCGTTATTTTTCTCACAATATTGCGTTAAACAATCATTACCTAAGTGTCTAAAAAATTAAAAATTGAAAAAAAAAATCAAAATTTTTCAACTTTTTTTTGAATTTCAAGAAATTTTTTCTCGACATTTGAAATATTCAATGTAAAATTGTAATAAAAAGGACGCAAATAATTTTAAAAATTTTGAAAGACGATTATTTTCAAGTGATTTTTATTTCAAAATTAATTTTTTTAAAATTAAAATATAATTGAAAATTCTGATTTTTTTCAAAATTTTGAATTTTTTTTTCCATATTTGATGAATATTTAATTTGAAATTGTGAGAAAATTAACGCAAAAAAATTTGTTTCATCTTGATCATTAATTGATGTAAATACCTGCGCGGCCTGCGCCTTTAATTTTTTATAAAATTGACGATTCTGGAAAAGGAAAACGGTTCGACCTGTCGATTTTTAAATCATGGGCATGTTTTGTGCTCAAGAAAACATACAAACATTGGTACTTTTCGCAATATTTGCAAAATAGTCATTGATTTTCCAAAACAGCACTTTTTCAAATTAATGTTGTTTTAAAAAAATTCTTAAACATACCAAAAGGCCCTTGAAAAGGTTTCTAAAACCACCTTCCGTTCGCTGTAGTTCATGAGGTATCGATGATAAAAAAAGGTGATTTTTCACTCATTAAAAAAAAAACAAATTGAAGTAGATGAATTAGGCTAAAGGACCCTGGCATTGATTAAGCCAGAAATTTTCTGAGCCCATGTGTACTTTGAAAAGAAGAATATAAAATTTTTGCTTTGCATTATTTCTTTTGATTGTGCCGAAATTGATACTCAGAAAAATTTTCCAACTCAAGATTTCAAAACCAGAATCTTCAAGCTTCGAGTGGCTTCTTTTTTTTTTCGATATTACCATTATTCACGAAGTTACAGCCCTTCAAAAATCACTAAAAAAAAATTGGAAATTTTTCTTCTCCTTTGATTTTTTTAATGAGTGCATTTAGAATGAGTCTCATTTTTTTAAATAAAAATCTGGCGTTTTTGTCACAGCTGTCCTTAAAAAAAATGCCCGAAATCTTAAACCTTCCGACAAACCGAGACGGTTAGCCTTATAATAGGTAGAAGGGATTCCTCATATCATATCCTTCCGCCGAAACACCGTGAACCATGACCCTTCCACAGCCCCTTGTTTTTTGGCGGTCGCACTATTTACGTTTCCCGGTGCAACAAAAGACAAACGACAGCACGCAAAACGGCTCTTCCGCGCCTAATTACTGGCCCAAGCAGAGAGAAAGGGGAACGGTCCCGCATCGCACAGCTGATCGACAACAGGTGGACGGAGCGAGTCCGTCGCCGCTGGAGGAAAGCCGGCCGCGGCGTTGCCGAATCTCCCAGAAAAACTGCCTGGGGCAAAAGTAGAAAATGAATTTGGTAATTGAAACGTTAAGTAAATACTAAGTTTTCCAAATTTTTAACTAATTCACAAAATGACAATAGATAGGTATTATTTTTAAAATTTTTTTTCGTTAAAGTATGCATGTGTCATTATTAAGTGAAAATTTAAAATCTAGCGCTAAATGTAGTAATTTTCTGAATTTTGTTGTGGCAGCATTGTCTGTTTTTGCATTTTTATGAGGAATTCTTTCCATGTTGCCAGATTCATCCACTAAACTCACTGATATACACGGGTCATTCAGTCATAGTATCATTAATTTTGACCACGTATTCGAAAGGCCTAAAAAAGACAGAAAATCGAAAACAAAATTTACTCGACCTTTTAACAAATAAGCAAATTATCCCTTAACTCTCGTTAACTCGGCGCCCTACTTTGCATGACATTTGTTGACGCGCCGGCGCACCACAGAGCGTTCAATCGTTGAAGCGAAACAGCTGATATCCCTAGTTTTGCAATTGGTCTCAAAATCAAAATGCACTATATCATCATTTTAGTAACAAAGTGCTATGGACGGATGAGTGTTGTTTTAGCCGTACTGATATTCTAAATAGGTAGGTACCATAGTACTCTTTGAAACGCATCGCAATAAGTCACTCAATAATTAATTGAAGATAATACTAAAAACTCATATTCAATTATAAAACATATTGAAAACTTACAATATTATGAATTCTAAATTGCAATAAACTAACATTCGAAAACAATTATTATCCTTATACCGGTTAGGAAAGTACCGATGGTATATCTGAAGTTACGTGAGGGCGATAAAGTAAACCATAGAAATCCATGCGATAGAGAGGGATGGCTATAATGAAGGCGTCTCATAGTCACCGCCCGTTTTGCCCTTCCACAAATAAGATCCACTTCTTATTTGTGGAAGGGCGAAATGGGCGGTGACAATTAGACGCCGTCACTATATCCATCCTTGTTTATCACATGAATTTCTATGGCTTACTTTATCGCTCTCACGTAACTTCAGATAGACCATCGGTACTTTCCTACACTGTANGTCTCCAAATTGCAATCGTGATTAGCAGATGAGTTTTTTGGCAGCAATTTATTTTTATATTTCTTCTGAATAATACGTTTTTTCTTAGGTATTATTTCAAAATCTGAGTCGCTATCTGACTTATGCTCAGACTCGATATATTCAGATCCACTATCTTCGAATGGATCCTGAATAGACTCAATATCGGATAGATTTTCGGCCAACACCTCTAATTCTTGGCGGGTCAAATACCTCCTAAAATTAAAATAAAAGTTGTAGTTTCTATACTACCGGGACACATATAACCCACTATAAAATACTGGTGGGACACATATGTCCCGGAACCCCCAAACAGAAAATATTGTGCAAATAAACGACGTGAATTTACAAAAATGTGTTAATTTCAACTTACCTTGCCATTATAACAACACTGTAACAAGATTGTTAAATTGTGGCACAATAATACGATAATTACTGGCAATAACACATGCACTATACGCAACGCGACGTACACCATAATAAATTTTGAGGTTAACTAAGACTGGTGTTAATAAGGTGGACTGTTGTGTACGCGAATATATACCTAGTACTAGCAGCACGGTTGGGACAGTTTGAATAGGGATTTATAATGCATTGGTATGCTTGCAGTGTTTTTTAAAATTTCCTTGGGACATATATAACCCAATAGTATTTTTAAAGCAGAAAAAATTATATTGTAGCCGTAGCGAAAGGGTTAAATCATGATTTGAAAATATTTTTTTTCAGCGTAAATATGCATTTTAAAAATTTTTTAATCGCGTATTCCTATTCTACTATTTTTTTATATTTCCTTGAAATTAATGACATTATGACTGAATCACTCTGTATACAAGGCTAACAGTTAGAATACATTAAAATTATATCCGTATGCAAATTTAAACTAATATGGAACGCATAAAATTATAATTCCAGATATTAGCTGGCTTATAAATTAGAAAATTTATTTTGGTAGATATCGTCAGACCAATAAAATGTTTATTAAGTTTCTAGTTAGGTGTATAAATTACTTTTACATATTTCATATACGAAAATCGTCTAATTTGTGACAAATCCCCTAATATGTCAATGATGGTTTGATTATATTTCCTTTAATTTATTATTGACCAGAGCGACCTCCAGTGGAAAGCTCGAATATGTTAAATTTATAGAATTCTCCCGTATTTGGGTACATAATTTTTCGCCTGGTGACATCATACACATAAGCATAAGAAAAAAATGCAATTTTAAATTAACTAATACCTTCATGGAAAATATAAAATGTGCAACATTTTTAAGAAATGAACATTTCCGTTTTCTTTGCTTTTGAAAGGAAACGCCCCATTACTTCTTTCTAAATAGTTTTTTTATGTACGAAAATACTTGTAATTTTATTAAAACAGGAGTGACGTAGGTAGTGAAATACCACAAAATCCTTCTTACAACGGTACTGGTACTGGTATATTAATGTACATTGTTGATTAATATCACTGTTTTGTCAACAAGACATAACAAATAAAAATCAATCATTTTGTACAGAAACATCTCTTTAACAAAAAAAACAGGGGTTCCTATTTAAAAAACTTAACTTGACCTTCAATTGACTTTGAAGGTCAAAGTCAAGGTTAAAGCCAAGGTCACCATCAGATAGCCAGGGGAAAATCCGTACACTTTTGCCTGAAACATTTTTTCCCAAAATGCATTTTTCTGCCGTACCGGGACTTTTGGATAACCCTGTATCAACAAAAATAGTAAGTATTACTAATTTAAACCTCTTTTTGTTACAGACCTACAGAAAGTAAATTGAAATTACTCATACTGTACAATATTTCACTATTTCTCTCATTTACAAACAAATCTAGTTAGCATATTCGGAATAATTAAAATTATAATTTAATTCATTGCAATAAAACACTTATTTTTAAACATTAATAAAATTTTTGTGACGCAAAATCCAAATTACCATTTATTTTCACCTGCCAAATAAAATTGTATTATCCTCACGAATGGAGAAATTTTCCTCGCTTTGGCAACGCCGCGCCCGCTCTAGCCTAGGCCTCCGAGACGCGCAGCTTTTCTTCCACGATGTTCGCTACTTTCAGTTCGCGCCGCGACTCATCAAGGTAGCTTAGGAAGCTCACGTGCGTTTTTTGTTTATACCGGGACTGTCAGTTTCGTCGCGTATTGTTGGGGTTTCGCGCGGTGTCGCTAGCTTTTTTAGTGTGAAGTGCCAGTGAATTTGTTGGAACGCCGGTTAATTTTCAGGTGAGTTTCGGATTTTATTTTGTACAAAGAATGAAATCTTTCGGAGGGAAAATTTGTACGCTGCTTATGCGCGTGTGGCTAGTGTTTCTTCCTTTGTCCATTGTTGTTGTTATACACAATATATTAAGATTTTAGGAGTTGCACATGATTATTTTGAATACATTTTTTTATGTTTTCTCTTTTTTATGAAACAAATGGATAAAACTGGAAGCCAGAAAAAATTATCGAACTTGTTTGAATATTTACAAACATTTTTTTGTCTGTTGTCTGAAACAAATTGTTTTATTGTGTTACCTAATATGAAGATTTTAAGTTGCCTATATGATTGATTACCTACTCAAAAGTTTTTATAGTACAAAACATTTTAGTTATTTTACCTTGACATAGGCTACAATGAACTTTATTCTAAAAATATGGAACAACAGATTGTTATCGAATTATTTGAATTTTTTTACATATTATACAGTTTAAAAATTCTAATAAAATATTTGACTAAATTTTAATGCCTCACAAATTAACAAGAAATGTTGACAAAAGTCTCGTTTTCATTAGTTTTACTACAGTTTATTTTCTACAGCTTTTAACACCTTTCTTGTGCTCATAGAACAATTAATGATGTTAATGATTATAATTGGAAAAAGTTCTAAGTTTATAGTTTTTTCTTATTCTTGTTTTAAAACAAACGTTCTGAATTTTTGTGAGAGGGTGAAAAATAAGTAAAAAAAAGGGATAAAGTTGCTTATCTTCCTACTTTCTTTTTTAAATTAAATTTAAATGTGTAACATGAAATATATAAAAACACTATTAGACTTTTTCAACGATACAACGATGCGTGTAAGTTAATTTTTTTTAATTTCGTATTTAAAATAAAAAACATCAATATCTACTCCCAATTTTATATTAAAATGTCCAGGTGCACTACCCATCGTATAGAGACCTGAGGATGTCGTAATAAAAACGACGAAAAAAAAATTCGACGGAAGTTTATATACAGGGTGTTTTTGAATGGAGTAGCACCAATGATACCAGTGAATCTACATTTCAAAAGAACACGATCTGCAAAAAATCGCCTTAGTAAAATGTTCACCCCTGAAGAGATATGGGCCATCAAAGTTTCCAAAAAAATTATGAAAATTGGCTGTAATTTGAAAACCGAACGAGGTACAAATAACAAATTTTTTACAGGTTGTTTACTAATACAGATGCGAGTTTTCAACTATTTTTCGAAAATTTTAACCCCTCGAAAGGGGTTGAAATAACCAAGCCATTTTTGCCATAACTTTTATATTTCGTAAAAACTCGATATCCAAAAATACGCATTAGATAAACTGGTCCTTTTAGAAACGTTTACCTCTCTAGCAATTTTCCTTTAAAACTTTTCGTTTATTAATAAAAAAATANGTAGGTGGCCAAACTATATTATATAAACATAGGTCTGGTAATGCTTCGTTTTCAAGACATAGGATGTTAAACTTTTCAAAAAAAATCGTTTTTTCGTAAAAATATTAATAATCCTTTAGCCGATTTTGTTGAAATTTGGCAGTGTTATTTATGGTAGAAAGGAGCTAATTACCCCCAACTAGATAAACATTATTAAGACCAATGGCGTCCCGGGGGCACCTTAACCAATATTTTTTACAAAAAAAATGTGCGCCACTGACTTTTTTAAAACTTTTATAAGTTTTTTTTCACATTAAGGAACTAAAAATACAACTTTTTGCCTCTTGAATTTTTTTCGTATCTTGCTTCCTTTTTGGAAAAAAAAATGGAAAATCACTTTATTGTATGTCCCCTTGGGACAAAATAAAAAGAATGAAAACTATTAAACAATCCAAAACTGGTGTACCTGTTATTTTCTTCCAAATCAATAGTCTATTCTTAGAAATTGTTATAAAAATTAATGCTAGCTAAAAAAATGTTTGTTTTATTAATTATTATTAAAAACTGTTTTTTTTTAATATTATGTATGTGTACATAAAAAATAGGTTAAGTAAACAAAGTATTTTTTAAATATTTTTTAATTAAGGTTTGTTTTAAGTCTAGCTTTTTCGTATAAAACTTGATATTTACATTTTGCTTTTGAATAATTTTCGCATCTAGTTCCTTTTGGTCATTATAAAATAACATGCACATTGCCTAGACCTTCGTTTTTCGCACACTTCATCTTTAATGTTTAACGTTCTACATTCATCCATATCACTTTCACTATTTCAACCACAGCCTTTTTCATCAAATCAGTGGTTGAACGCCTTTTCTATTTTGTTTCCTCATTTTTTCGTTATATTTTCTTAGGTATGAAGTCATAATATTTATTGTTGTCCAAGCATTTTCAGTAGATACCATTCCAAAGGCAGTTTGTTGATATGGATCCTCAAAGTATCGAAAGTTTTTACTTTTCCCCAAATGACTAACTGATTTTGCTTGTCGATTCTGCAAAATAAAATTGTTAATATTTGTTTTCCATCTGTTACACATTTACCGCTTTTTAGAGCAAACGTTTTGTTACGCATAAAAAGTAAAAAGAGTCCAATTTTGACAGTATTTTACACATTTTGTGGTGAATAATCCTTCAATATTACCTGGATCTTTGTTTGCACCAATGTCTAGGTCAGTATCAGCTGATTCTGCTCAAATTAGTTTTTAAAGGCTTCGTTGTGTCTTTGAGAAAATTAATCCATATGAGGCCTTAAAACTAGTAATTTTTTAACTTTCAACATCAGCATCCAGTACTGAATAACACTTTGTGACAACACCTGGTTATTTTCAAGGGTAACGGAGAACGAAAAAGTAACAAAAAACGGACTGATGTAGACATTTCTAAATCTATCTGTCGTCTCTACAAAAAAGGCGGCTCTTTATTCGATTGCAGTTACTTAGATGAGGATTATATTCGTTTTCCTTATTTTTTATTTTAAATGGGACAAATTAATTATACAAGTTTACATTGAGATTCCATAAAAACCATTATTTTCAATAATCCTTTTAAATATCAAAGCGTCACCTTTTGGCAATATAAATACTAAGAATACCTAAGCCGAACATTCTAATTTCCAATAATGTATCAATGTTTATAACTTAGCTGTCTCCAAAATTTCTAGTTTTATTACATTTCTGAACTTTGCACCCTTGATGCATTAATCTTCATAAAAAACACACCNGAAAATATAAATGTTTGTTAATAAAGTCAGTATTTTAAAATTATATGGTATAGAAAGTAATCTCAAATGTAATTTTAAATGTCCTGAGATGAAAAAGCAGTTACTGCTTCTTTTAATCGTTTTGGGCAAAATTGATCTTCGATCATATTTATTTTAAATCTTTCCCAAAATTTAACAAACTCTCTATGAATCGATTCCCCAGCTTGTTCAGACCATACTCCTAAACCATCGTTGTTCAAGGGCACAGTTGCTTGTTTCAAATGATCTAGAATAACATGGATTTTGACGGTTTGAGAAACATATGTGCTTTTTAAAGCATTACGGAGTTCATTAATATTTTTCAAATGGAGAAGAGACATGGATGAAGAGACATTTTATTTCCAAACAAACTACTATAATCGATATTTAGATAAATATATTTGATGACACCTGCAATTGGAAAAAGAAAATCTACGATGCTAATTTTCCGAATGTGGATAGCAAAGCGCCATCCAATTACAATCAATATAACTATATTTTCTTGGGGATAAATTATACAATACGTACGGTACATGTTAGATTGAAAAAAAAAATAGAATAACTAATTTTCATAATTAAAAAAATAATAAACTTGTGTATGTGTGTGTGTGTTCATATTTTAAATTATTATTTATTTATTTAAAATTGATTACTTATACAAAATTTAAGACCTATTCAAAATTCCATAAAAATATTTTTAACCATCGTAATTCTTACCTATTGTGATATATCATAAAGTTTTCTTATAAAAAAACAAAAATTATAATATCTTACAAACAGGAGCAGTTAGGATTTCAATTCAAACTGCTTTTTACTTTATTTTTAAGTACAAATATATCGCCACTTTCAGTTTTTGTCGTCATTTTTATACGACCGTGAGTGGTTGAATCTTGAACGCACTTTTCTATTTTGTTTCCTCATTTTTTCGTTATATTTTCTTAGGTATGAAGTCATAATATTTATTGTTGTCCAAGTATTTTCATTAGATACTCATTCCAAAGGCAGTTTGTTGATATGGATCCTCAAAGTATCGAAAGTTTTTACTTTTCCCCAAATGACTGATTTTCCTTGTCGATTATGCAATGCAATCGATGCAAAATAAAATTGTTAATATTTGTTTTCCAGTCTGTTACACATTTATCGCTTTTTAGAGCAAACGTTTTGTTGCGCATAAAAAGTAAAAAGAGTCCAATTTTGACAGTATTTTACACATTTTGTGGTGAATAATCCTATAATATTTTATCGCCACGGTAGCGCAGTCGGTCGAGAATGCGGTGGCAAGCATTTCTCGGTTAGGCTTCCTACTCTGGGACGGGTTCGTTCGATCCCCGGTATCGGCACTGGCAATGTCGATAGATAATGGGTGTTTGTCCGCGTTTTTTCAAGTGCAGCCCCCTTCCGCACAAGCCTTTGGCTTTTGGATTTGGGGGTTGTCTCATTTCTGTGGTGTGTNATTCTTATATTCTTATATTCTTATATTCTTATATTCTTATATTCTTATATTCTTATATTCTTATATTCTTATATTCTTATATTCTTATATTCTTATATTCTTATATTCTTATATTCTTATATTCTTATATTCTTATATTCTTATATTCTTATATTCTTATATTCTTATATTCTTATATTCTTATATTCTTATATTCTTATATTCTTATATTCTTATATTCTTATATTCTTATATTCTTATATTCTTATATTCTTATATTCTTATATTCTTATATTCTTATATTCTTATATTCTTATATTCTTATATTCTTATATTCTTATATTCTTATATTCTTATATTCTTATATTCTTATATTCTTATATTCTTATATT